ACTGGCTTTTTAATGGCCAACACATCAATGCCTAAGGCTGCCCATCCATCCATCTGTCCATCTGTCCTCATTCATATTTTAGTTCCTTCCAGCACCCACCCATACCTTGGGATTGGCACGGTCTGAAACGGAGCTGGGCTGTTAAAGAAAGGGAGGCTAGGGGATGAGGGGGTGGGAGACAGAAAGACCGGTGATGCCTAAAGCCGATTTCCTTTGTGCTAAAGAGCTTGGAGCAACTGTGATCAGCACAACCAAAATAGTGTCTCCCTTTGTGTGTGTGATATCTGGGTTTGGGCATTCATGACCATCAGGGAGGCAAGGAGCAGGTTCTGAGGCCCATCCCAAGCAGTCTATATAAGAAGGTATCCTGGCCACCTGCCCGTCCACTAGCTCAGCTGAGGCAAGACAGCACAGGCTAGCTCTAGGAGCATTGGTGAAGCATTGTTGGGGAGGTGAGCGTCCAACCAAACAATGGGGAATAAGAAGAGCGGGATGCTCTCCAAGGAGATCCTTGAAGATCTGAAACTGAACACAAAGTACTCAGAGGATGAGCTGTGCAAATGGTATGAAAGCTTCCAGAAACAATGCCCCGATGGGCGCATCGGTCGGTCTGAGTTTGAAAAGATCTATGCCAATTTCTTCCCCAACTCTGACCCCAAGGTGTATGCTCGGCATGTCTTCCGAAGCTTTGACACCAATGACGATGGGACCCTTGATTTCCGGGAGTACATTGTCGCTCTGCATCTGACCTCATCTGGCAAAACCAACCTCAAGCTGGAGTGGGCTTTCTCACTTTTCGATGTGGACCGCAATGGAGAGATCAGCAAGAACGAAGTTCTCGAGATTATTGCAGTGAGTGCAGAGGACGTTCTGTGGGGTAGAGGTGGGGCTCTGTGGCAGGGACATGGAGGTGGGGGATTCAGGAAAGCTCTTAAGGGTTGGACATTTACCAATGTGTGACGAAAAAGTCTTCTTGCGCAATAGTACAGTGATAATTACTGCATATATTTATTCTTAATGGTTTTGGAAAGGAAGAAGAGAAAGCTTGTGGAAAAAGCTTGGACTCAGTTCTTCCTTGTTACTGCCTTGATCCCTCTGAAACTTGGATCATATGGGGACCATCTTCCCTTGCATCACATCTTCATATGGTTAGAATAAGCCTCCCCTGGTAGATGGAAACTTGTGAGATCCAGTCCTTCCCATTCAAGTATGTGGTCCTGTCCAACTTAACTGGGTCTCAGGTCTCATCCTCCCTGGACCAGCTCAAGCCATAGAAACGGCCATTCTTATGAGAGGCTAGGTCACTTGCCAAAATCAAGACAGTTGTAATCAGTGGGAGGGAATAATGGGTAATGGCTGTGTGACTTTCTCAACCCACCTCTAGATAATGGGAAGTTAATGGATTATGTTGGCTGATATTATCTCCTGTGCCCAAATGGAATTAGCCTTTCCCAGATGGGGGGAGGCAAAATTGTTTATGCTTTGACACAATTGCGCTCATCCCATTAGTTACAATAGAAGTAGTTCTAAATCCCCTCCTAATTTTCTCTCATTGGTGTCAACCAACTTCTACCCATTCCTTTCTGAGAGTAAAGGTCTATCTTTTAAAGAAAAAGGATGCCATTTTAATTTAAGAGCTGAGTTGGCTCCAAAAGTAAAGAACTCAATCTCTCTCTATATATCTCAACTAATCTAAACTGATTCAAGCATGTTTAACCATTGTAGGTTTCCCCAAAGATGTTCTACCAAGTTCTACAAGATGTTACCAAGATGAAATCTGGTTCACGCATCATGCTAAAGTCATACATGGTTGAACAAACCATGGTAGGCTGGCTTTGTGCATTGCAATACGACATGCCCCATTAATCAGTCAGAGCAAAATGGCTGAATTTGCACAACATGTGCCAAACCAATGACAAATCACAATACGGTTTAGTGTGATGCATGAACCAGTCCCGACACAGAATCCAAGAGTTGGAAAATTCCTTCTCAGATTATAATCCAAGACATTGAACATTTTGGGATTCATAAAAGTGACAGCACTGAACAGCTGGAAGTTTAGATGACTATATACATGTGACCTTTTCTTGCATCTCTATAGATTTAATAGTGCAGGATGCTGTTGCCAATTTTCTTCTGCCTTCCCAACTTCTAGATTCCCCTCCCAATGTGTGCACCACAAACCACAAACAGGCAGAAATTAATATTGGATTAGGTGAGGCTAAGGCTCTGACTCTCTCAGTAGAGTATTTGTGAAGTGCTTTCAACTTTGTTATTCCAGCCAGAGGAGTAAATTCCTCTGATCTTCAGAAGGTAAAGATATGAAAATAAGTAGAAAATCTGTTTTGGTGTTTAAGATCCAGGCACAGACCTACCTATCTTTATTATTATTTTTAATAGAGAGGAGAAAGGAAGAGCTGGGTGAATTAAAAAATAAATCAACATATGCAAAAGATGCTATACAGGTAGTCCTCATTTAGCAACCACAATTGGGACCAGCAAGTCCAGCTTCTTCCAAGTTCTGAGTGTTTTCTACTTCAAGGAAAATGTTTTGTATTCCTTCAGAGTGTGTCTAGCTGTGGTCCCCAGTCTTAAACTG